CATGGTTTTCTGATCGACTCGAGTCGGCGAATATGCAAATTCTTTTGTGGAATAATTGAATGATTAAATTAGGTTTTTAAAAATAAAATTTGGATCACGAGATGGATAGTTTCGCATGGTTTTCTGATCGACACGTATCGACGAATATGCAAATTCTTTTTTAGAATAATTGAATGATTAAATTAGATTTTTAAAAATAAAATTTGGGTCACGAGATAGATAGTTTCGTGTGATTTTCTGATCTACGTGGAATTTTGTTGGCTTTTTTAGAAATTTGACGAGATGGAATTAATAGTCGGAAAATTGACTATTAGTCAGTCCTTGCAATTTTACGACTTCGCGATTGTCGAATACTAACTAAGGGAATTTCAATCGGAATTGCTTCAATTAAAAGAAAAATCTTTGATCTCTGTAACGGACAAGTGTGTTCGACTGATCGTGCGGGTTGAATGGTTTGTTTGGGATAAAATTAGCCAGGATTGTACGAGCATTCTTGCCACCTATTCATGGAAACGAGGTAATGTTACAATACCGCCAGTTATCATGTAATTCTGCGTTTAACGTGTGGAACGTTAGAGATTAGCGAGGATATACCACCAACCGCAATAATAATAAACAGATGCAAAATTATATTCGTAAAAGTACAAACGTTTAAACCTTCGTCTTCCCTTCTACCGATCGACAGAGATTTGCAAAATCTGAATTTACAGACTGGGCCCCCTACCAGCATTAATTATAGAATGCAACCTTCCTTTCTCCCTCGCTTTGTAAACCTAAAATATCCCAGAAATGCTTCGCGAGCGGAACAAATTTTCGTGCTTCGGACAGTATCCGTGCGTGTGTCCATTTTGTCCAAAGGCAAAAATTCAGGGGAGAGAATATAAGAATCTGTTCACAACTGAGGTATTAATAATCTTCTTTTCGCGAGATGGCAATAGCCTCTGACGGAAGGGTGTATCGAACGACGTCTCGTTCGGAGGGGAGGAGGGCGTTCTAGATTCAGCCGGGGGCAAGAAGTGCCTCAAGTATTTCAAGTATTCGAAGTTCGCGACGCGGTGAATGCCGGGCCGCCGAAGTGCACGCCGCATACTTTCCGCGGCGTTTCTCCTCTTTCAAGGGAAAAGTTTAGCGGAAAGTTTCGCTGGGGGCGAGGGGTTGGCGGCGGGGGGAGGATCGTCGCACAAAAGATTCGATTTGAATTTCATACCGGCCGATTATGGATGTAGATTTCGCCCGCGGCGATTCGATTCCATTCCGGATCGCTCCGGAAGTTCGGGCGATTCTCGCGTTTCCGGCCGATGGCGCGCCAACCCGAACCACCCCCTCGTCGTCGTCTCTCTTCAATTTTTTTTTCTTCTTCTGTTTTTTGGAAATCTGACTAATCGAGGAGTGTTTTCGATCGTTAAATTACGTACAAACAGTGGAGCTACGTCCACTTGAAATAAAATTATAAGCGAGTAGTTGGAGTGTGTAAATTGTAATATTTTTATTTTATATATAATAATTTTATGTAATTAATATTAAAATATTAATAATATTAATATAAATTTATATAATTAATATTAATTTTATATTATAATTAATATAATTTTATTATAATTAATATTTTTGTCATCGTCGTATTAGGCGACTTTTATTCTTCATTTAATCCCTATTTTAATAAATTTTAATAAATGTAATAATAATAAATAAAATAAACAAATGTAATAATAAATATTGCTAAATTTATTTAAAACGTCATAGGTATAAATATCTTTCTATTAATTCCTAATAATAAAAATTGGGGCACGTCCGGGATTGAACCGATCCCTAAATCACGTTTATTGGTCCTGGCCAACAAAGTAGAACCAAAGCCAGAGAAACGCATCCCCTGCAGCTCTCCATCTTAGAATCTAGCTCGTCGTCCAGCCATCAACCGTCGGTGCGGCCTGTGCATCTGCGTGGCGCAAGGGTGCACGATGCATTATGCGGGATAGAATTAGCACGTCGTCAGGCGCGAGACTTCGCCCGATAAACCATTGACCATCGACCCTTTCGCCACGAAGTCGCAGTCGAGTGGCGAGTGATCGATAAACCGGACCTCCTCCGGGTATTGCGGGCACGCGGAGGAGGGGCGAACAGCCGCGATATTACGCCGCTGGTCACGTACATAAAGACGAGTTTTGTCGGGCGAATTGCGAGTGGAAAACAGGCGCGTGTTTCGCGTTTCAACGTTTCAATTCGAAACTTGCATTTCAGCGCTTCCGCCTGCGCCGAGCGTGAGAAAGAGGGGGCGAAGAGGGATGAGGGAGAAAAAGAGAGAATGGAAGGGCCTCTCGTTCTCTCGACTCGTTCTCTCGCGATTTAAAGCGTTTCCGCGCGGAGCGGAGGGTGGGAGAACCGGACACGGGAAATTTGTTACGTTTCGTCCGTTTCATTTCATCGTCGACGATCCGCATTAATGTAAAAACGATGTAGCCCCGGCTCGGCTGAACGCTCCGCCAAAGCCGAACAACGTGTTCTCGCGCTCCGGTTGCTCCTGTCGGTGGATCCCGATGCGAATCGATCGAAGATTTATTATTAGAAACGCGGTTGTAATTGTACGTCAGCGTGTCAATTATCTGAGACGAAGCACGAGTCGTAATATTTAACGATTCAAACGAATTTTTTTTCTGGTTAATTCTTTGGAATTCGATTGAAAAGTTGTAATCGACTGCAATATCGATCTTCCCGTAATCGAGTGAAATCTTCGTCGTTAGAGGGTTGGATAGAATTCAATTCCTTCGTTAACATTAACATCATTTGCAGACAGGGTATCGGATAAAGGATTAAATCTCCAACGTAAATTGGAATCGAGATTCGCGTCTTTTTTTATTCTATTTTTATAGAATCACGTGGAATTAATTGTAAGTTTGTTTGAATGAGTTAATCGAGGATAAGACTCCGTGAATATTTTAGTCCCTCAAGTATCTAATTCTTCTTCATTTAAATGTCACGTTCACTTGTCACAATTAGACTTGCTACAAATTTCCCCACCATATCCTACTTCTTCAAACTTTCATCTGTCATAATAAATCCAATCTGGTATCATTATATCTTACGAATTACTTCTCTGAAGTTTGTACGAATGAACTGAATAATCGAGCATAAAACCCCATTAATATTTTAGCCCTTCGTTATCTAATTCTTTATCATTTAAACAAGTCATATTAGACTAGCAACAATTTTTTCCTACTATATCCTACTTCTTCGAACTTTCGTTTCCCATTATTTTGTATTATTACATCATTATTTCTCTCAAGTTTATTTGAACAAGCTGATCAAGCACAAAACACCACAAACACTTGTCATAATTAGACTTGCAACAATTTTTGCTACCACATCCTACCTCTTCAAACTTTCGTCAGTCACAATGAATCCACTCTCGTATTATTATTAGATCCTGCGAACTATTTTTCTCAAGTTTGTTTGAATCGCTTGATGAGCTAACCGAGCATAAGATTTCATGAATACTTCAACCCTCCGAGTATCTAACTCTTTCTCGTTTAAATAAGTCACACAGTTCGACTTACTTTTACTGCTATATCCTACCGCTTCCTTCAGACTTTCGTCTGCTGCAATGCAATCCAATCTTGCATTATTACATCCCACGAATTTATTTAGCCTCTCATCCCCTTATTATCCGCTCAACGGGTTCCGAAAGAATCTGCCGGTACCTGAACGGCGAGTTTAATCCCCCGCGTGGGGGATTCAAACGTTATCATCAACCGATTTGCATATTAAAAAGCGGAAGGAACCGACGATCGCGTTGATCTTCAGCAAGGTATATCAGATACCGTTTTGGCCGGTTTCACCTACGCAATGGGATTTCGGGCTGCAAAGGGGGAGCGCTTTGAAGAGGGAAAAGGCTGAAAGGGGCGGCATTCCTCAGAAGCTCCTCGCGGTTATTCAAGCCTCGGCGGCGGTCGATTCCGACGAAGGAATTCTTTCATCGTTCCTCCTCGAAACGAATCTCTTTTGCCGGCTTCTTTTGAGACACAGTCGGATTATCGGTAATCGTAAAAATGCCGTCCGATTCATGCCAAGCGGAGCAATCCGGCCCGCTTTTGTCCGACACCGGCGCATCATCTCGTCCACTAATGTTCTTTAGCCGAGGGAAAAAAATGGCTCGTTTCTCGTTCCTAGCCTCGGAACGCCCGACTATAACGAGACGTTCACGTTAAGTACAAGTGAGATTTTTGAAAAGGGAACGGACGCCTTAAGATAGATTTTGCAAGGGACGGTGTACTTTCTAATTCGGAAATTTGTACTACACTGTACTACTCGTTGCAATGTATTGTTCTATCCGTAGATATTAAAATTGTCGATAATTTAAGCTGTAAGAAAGAAAGAAATCGTATGACAATCCATTTGGTCTCATTTTACAGTTTTTATTTTGACAGTCGACAGTACTTTTTCTTCGAAAATAACTTTGAAAAAGGGAGGATATTTTTTTTTTTTTTAAATAGCTTTAAAAGAGTGAGGATAAGTTATGCCAGTTCGAATTATCAACAATTTTCCATCGTCATTGATACAATTATGCTTCTCGTTATACATGAAAGATGCAATAATTCTTTTAACCTCTTGCGCTGGAAACGTCGACAATTTTTTGCCCCGAAATTGCAATATTTTCTCAGTTCTAAGTGTACTTAAGTATAACCCAGGCAAACCTGATAATAAATTTATTACTTCGAAATAATTTCTATCCAGCGATATCATGCCGAATCGAGTTCAAAAAGAAAGCGACGAATTATTGTATACGGTTTGGTCACTCGTTACGGTCCGCAATCAGCTAGCCGGCGCATGCGGTTAAGAAATCGCAAGTATCTTAAATCAATATGTTTACCCAACTATATTAACTATCGATATAAAAGAGCAAAAAAATAGCAGAGAAATTAATCGGTGATCCAATGCTCTACTCACTTTTACACTTCCTATTCTCTTCTAAGCGAATTGTCATCTGAAAATTCTCCGTCTTGTTTTTCAGCCTGATCCGTCGAGACACTAGACCAGAGCCAGCGATTAGGTGTTCGACGCTGAGGGGTGCAACGAGGCTGCCCTCGGCGCCGGATCATCGCAGCGAGGCTCGTTTGAGGACCGATCCGAAAGTTCTGGTCTTCGTCGAAACACTTTACTCCATGCTGGGGAAGAACATAGCGGAACTGCTCGTCTCCAATCGAATCAAGTGAGTATCTTGCAACACACTTCATCTCCCCATGAAGCATTTACATTTATAGTGTAACGTTAATAGCAATAAACGCGAAATATTTACACACGCGAGCCAGAATTGATCTAGCCTTCGGTGTCTGAGCGTTAATCCTGAAATTATTCAATTACACGGAATTACGCTGTGATACACTCTCCCCTGCCCGTTTCAAATTAGCTGTCACATTCGATGTGTAAATGTTGTCCGACGATAGTTGTCACACGTTACATTCGAGCGAAATGTAGTAGATGAAATTTGGAAAGCTTCAACGAAGCTTTTTTAACAATAATTCAATGTTAAGTAATGTTTGAACAGTTTTTAGCTTTAATTTGCAGCTCGTCAGGTTCACGTGCGATACAGGAATTCACGTGTGACAGGCGATTTTCACGTCTGATTTTTTCTTTGTTTCACGTGCATTATCTTGCACGAGTTACGTCGTTATGTTTTCCATATAAGTTTTTATTCCCTTCTCTTTTCCTGTGTAAGGTTGGGCACATTTACATTACCAAGCTTTACGATATACTTCCAAGTGACGATTCAAATTAATTTTCTCCAAGTTTTGAGAAACATCGCTTTTTCGCCCGCCCATTTACCAATTTTTTGACAATTGACATTGAAAGTTGAATTGCCCAGATACCTTTAAAAAGGCTTTGCTTGTTTCCATAAACAATTCGGGATACAGTTCGACGATGCATGTTAAATTCTTCCGATGCAGCAAATATAGCACCAGTTTGTCGCCTTTGTAAAGCTGTGCCAAAAATTGCGGAACAATATTACGCACGATCCAACTCTGCACACACATTTGAAATGACAGCTGGTGTACTTTTGAAAATGTTCAATTAGTATCGTTTCGACACCAGTCTACCTTGATAAATAAACGACGATCGAATGATTTCTTTTGGCGACTTACTATCATTACCAAATATTTAGACATCGAGTGAATGAAGCAAATCGAATCAATAATGCACAAACGTGACAACTAATTTGGGACTAGTGTAGAGTATCGTAGTCGCGAACATCCACAGCTTCAGTATTCTTTCACGATTAGGAAGGAAGAATTACAGGAACGAGAGAGCATCGAGCAACTCCATCGAGACCAAACGATATTTTCCTATAGACAGCTTTCCCTAGTTATCACAGGCAAGTTTTTACTAGCGAAGTTCATTGTTATGCCGAGCAAGATACGTTTGTTTTCGTCGCGATTGAAAAAACTTTCTCTCGTTAGCGTTTCGCGCGAATTTTTTCCTTTCTTTCTCTCTTTCTCTTGATAGCAAGAGATATTACACATATTATCTCTCTAATAGCGATTTCCATTTTTTTTTTTCTTAATTTTTTTCTCCGTGATAATTTTAGCCAGGCGTTATGAAAAAGAACTTAACACTATTGAATCTTAGAAAAATGCAAAATACTATGCGCCGTTAGATTCGTCGTTAAAAAAATACTAATTACATCAATTTACGCAGAAACGGTATCTTTGATCATTCCCGAGATATTTGACAAAATATGTATGTTCCGCACCCCTAACTTTGAGGGTAGTTTCATCGTCGACGATTGTCAATTAAAAAAAAAAAAAAAAAACACGGGTCAAATATTTTGTTGGAAAACTACATTTATACCAAATTTCATCAAAATCGGTGATCACACTTCGGTATGTTCTTTCGTTAGTGATCGATATTATTCGGGTGTTGAAAAAATTCGGTGAAAAGTGCGCCGGTATCGATCGCGCGTTCGTAGTACGTCACGATTGGAAGTTTACGAGAGACACGGATGCAATTCGCGACGAGAGAGAGAGAGAAAACTGGGGGAATTTTGCCGTTAACGAGGCCGAGTTTAACTCGTTCGAGTTAATCGCGACAAAATTACGCACGTTAAGTGGCCGCGCGTTTAAAGATCCTTGATCTTAACTCGGCGTAATTCGCTGTTCAAGACGTTCTCCAACCTGTTCGCGTGTTGTCTCGCAATTATTAACCTCGTCGGGCACCGGGATCCACGACTTTAAAACGGCAATGAAATTGCACTTTGATTTTTACGTTTCATTTATCCGTTTTATTATCGAATAACAGCGAAACGACACTTTATTGAAATGCACGTGGTACGCGAGTGCATCTCATTACCACGCATTAAACGACAAGAAGATTAGATCCAATTACATGGCGTAACACGAATTTGTGTTTAATGTGAAATTGAAACGTGCCTCGTTTTACGACTCTCTTTCGTTGAGAGATCAATTTTTTTTTTAAAAAAGCTGCTTCGCTCGAAAATACATAACTTGTAGGTTGAGTATACTTCTGTGTAAAGGCAGCTTGAGAATTCCGAAAAGAAAAAAGAAAATTAATAAAAAGGCGAGAGAAGCGATTTCTACTGAAAGTAAACTAAAAAAAATAAAGGGAACGAACTGCCTATAAAATCGATCTGTCAGCCGCTCGCGGCGGTTTTTGGGGGAAAAATTACAGAGAGAAAAAGGTGCAACAAGGGGTGAATTCAACGCCGCGGAAGCCCCTAATACGAGCCGAGTTAACAGCCACCGCCAGTTCACTCGATTCCTGGATAATCGTGCAATAACGACCGGCTAATGCAATATTATGGCTGACCGAGCCTCGGCGACATCGACAAATTACCATGAACACGACCAGTTTGCTACACGAATGCGGGACTATATGACCACTTTCGTTATTAGAAACGGCCTTCAGACCTAAATAAGTAGAATATTCAAATGGGATATTGAACGTTCTACTCTATAAAATTACAAATGGAAAATGGAACTCAGAAATGGGGGAAATTGAAAGATCGTTTCTTTCTTTTTTGGAAATTGGATGACCAATTCCAAATTCATCTTGGCGCTCCAAATTGAAACGCTCGTTAGCTTCTCTTTAGAAAAAAAAAGAAAAACAAATCTCAAACGCCCCGAGGAATAATAACAAGTGAAATTTTTGCGGTGAAACTCGCGGCATCCCTCAAGAAAATAACGGATGCAAAACACACGAGGAGGACAGATTGGGATAACGATACACTCATCCCTCGCGCGGGATTGGATGAAGCGTCATAGGTGGATAAAGTGACGAGGGCAGAGGATGTGACAGAGAGAGAGAGAGAGAGAGAGAGCGCAGGATGTTGCGCGGTCTCTGTCCGTGTGTATTCACGGTGTAGAACGGTGTGTTGCAGCGGAACGAACCACCGTGATGGTGGTATAACGCGAACGGATGGCGTGACAAAGGGATGGTGTAAGTCGGAGGGACACACACGCTGGATCTCTCGCGTGCTCGAGCGTTGCACACACGCACACACACGCACACTGTCGCGTACCTGTCATCCGATAATCGGAAAGTCAACCGGCGCGGCGCACCTGTACACGTCTGACTAACACGGCCACCGAGAGCCACCCCTCGCGCGGCCGAGATAGAGCGAGAGAAAAGGCCGGGCCCAGCCTCTCGTTTGCTTTATCCACTGCAATTTCATAATCGATAATCGAGGCCGACGCGAGCCATCGTGCCAGCCAAGCGGCCGCTCCATCGCCGGACACAACATTCATCCGCGCCAGGGAAATTTTGATTTCGGAGATTGCGCCCATTGAATCGCTTCTGTGTTTGACCAAGCAATTCCGTTTCCACCGGGTCCAAGATCCAACCGGATTCATCTATTCCACACCGCAGCTCGAACGCTCGTGTTTGTTAAATAAATAACGCTTCGAAAGTTTTTCTACGTCCGCAAGAGGAGATTCTTTTAACCCTCTTGCGCTGGTCGAGAATTTTTTGTTCCCAAATTGCAACGTTTTCTCAGTTTTCAAGTATATCAAGTATATTAAATGTAATCGAGGCAAAACGAATGATAAATTTATTACCTCTCAATAATTTCTATCCAGTGATATATCGACGAGTTCATAAAGAAAGCGACGAATTATTGCGTATTCAGTTCGGTCACTCGTTATGGTCCGCGAACCAGTTGCCAGCGCAAGTTAAAATTTCACACGTGCCTCTTGTACATTTTTTCTGTACATTTGGTATGTTTTTTTTTTTGGAGGGGGGAGGAGGTGGTTCGACTTTTGTCGCAGCGCGTAATTTTTGGCATTTGGACATAAGAAATTTGGAATTTTCGACGAAAATAAAAGCGTCGAGGTGATAAATAGTATTGACACTGTCTATGGTCAGACAAATGTATAATATATTACGTGATCAAATAATTTTTTTTGTACGACCCGCAGCCATATTACGATTACTTTATGCTTACAATCAATTAAAATTCTCGTAATAATGGTGATAACAATTTTTACGTGTGCACGTTCACGTCTATCGAAATATTCATTGTCAAACAAGATATCGTATAAACGTTCTAGTACCTGTGGAGTTTGTATTATTCATCAGTAATGTTTAATCGCCATATAGGTTTCCAAATCAATAATTTCCGTGTAAAATGTAATTTTACATCTACTTGCGCGAATAGTTGACGAGCTTAATTTACTCGCTGGTAATAAATAATTCAGGTAAATTGCAACCATGAATAGAAAATGCCACACGACGTATAACAGGATAATTTGATACTCTACATACATCATTTGCATAATTTCTACCTGTGAATGTTGCGTCTGCTCCAACGAAGGGAAGACGCTTTGAATACCCTTGTATATAAAGCTTTGGCTCATTACAAGCGATCTTTACGTTTCATTTTTTTAATCTCGGCGATCGAAGAATTTTCTCAGAGCTTAAAAAAAGTGGAAAATTCTTTCTCCCCGTAAACCAGTAGCCTAACGCGTATTTACAACTCTGCGCGACAGAGTTTCGTAAAAGCGAAACAAATAAACCGCGAGAGAGGGGGAGAGAAAGAGCGCGGTATGGCTGGCGTGTGTCGAGTAGAATAATTCCGATCGTAGCCAGACAACTCTATCCATCACGCGCCGACGTTCGTCCAACGCTGCCACGTACAACAATTCATCCATTACACCGATTACCCGTACCATTCCGTAAACATTGGTTTCATCAAACGTT